GTCGTTTTAGGATTTGGATTTTGCAGTTGTGCGGGGGTGTCTCAATATGAAATCGCAGTCGCATGGGGAAGGGGGGTCGAGAGTCTAGCTAGCTCGCAAAGCGTTGGCCCTGAGCTGGAACAGGTTGTTTTTGAGCTATGATCCTGGTAATTACACCTGAATCATGTTGGCATTTTTGAAAGATTAGTTGGTGACTCTATTTCGCACGCCAAGGATTTGAGGCCTGATCCCTTCTGAATCCTAATTTCCTTGCTTCAACCTGGAGCTTTTTTTTTTTTTCCAAATCTCTCAGCTTGAACGTTCTCCTAAAGGGTAATAATTGAAATCTATCATATAGGGATTATGTAGGGATGTCTTCTATGCAATCTATCCACAGCCTCATGAAATCCCTAGACGCTGCCTTCAATCAAGTGCCTATGAAGCACAACTGGTTCTCCCACGAAGTTCGCAGAGATTTCTGTGAAATCTCGAGAATGTCCTGCGATGCGTAAACCTGAACCCTCAATCTGAACTCTTATGCCTGTAGCTGAGCTCCCTTCACCAAGGAGACTGTATCGTCCGAGGAGCTAGAACGAGAGATCCGGAAGATTGCAGGGGAGAAGGCCTGGATTTTGATTTTGATGTAACGCCAGCACTCGCATGATGTCAACCGCCAAAGCCACCGCTACCGCCACCAGCAGCACCGCCAGTATATGGCCAGCACCGCCAGCACCGCCAGCAGCCGATGCCGGCTTAGCGTTGACAGGGACTGAGCTGGTGGTGGTGATGACGCTTCTTTACCAAACTTTGCCTGAACCCTTATATTCTTCATGCCAGAAGCCGAGTCTCTGTCTTGAAGCTCCCCTGAGCAGCGAGGGCCGAATCTCTGAACCCAAGCCCTTAAGCTCGAAACTTAAATCCGGAAATCTCCTTATATTCCCACACGCCTCAACATCAACAGCTTGAATTCCTCGTGACCCCTGAATCAGGAAAATCTAAATTCCATTAAATCCCTGTATCATTGACTTCTCATTTATATCTTGATCTATAACCCCCTGGCAAGCCCCTGAACCCCGAAATGCCAAAGCCCTGAAATCTTTGAGCAACAAGCTTCAAAACGTTGAAGTGCGGAGGCTGAAGTCTTGGGCCCGCATGTACCTAGGACATGCCCCATTCGTAGCCTGAAAAGGGCCTACAAAGCCCGGCAAACAAGGCTTTTACTTGGGATCCGAAAATATACCGATGTCCAAGCTCCCGAACTTCTAGCTCTGTCTGCGCCGGGCCCCTACCTTCACCATGAACTAATCTCCAAAACCCCACAGCCCTCTTCTGCTTGGAGCCGGGGAGGCCATGATGATCGTGCGAATATGCTCGGCAGCCGCCACCAGCGAAGCGGCGAAGGCGCGGCGGACAGATGAGCATAATCATAGTAAGATGATACTAGTATTATGTGTTATGATATTGATAGTGTCTCGCACTTTTGATTCCCATTTTGAGATCCTTACAAGACCAAATCATGCCAAAAGACGGTGTTCATCGCCAAATCCTATAAACCCTGGAACCCTAAGCTGGCAAGCCGGCAATCTCCAACCCTTTCAGCCCAACTTACTGGAGTTACCGAACATCCTACACCCCTTCCGGTGCGCACAACACTTATTGTAGAAATTTTCAACATTGGGCTCCCCTGACAATCCCGCATACACCTCACAACTCTGGAATCGCGATGTGTTCTTTCCTTTTTCAGTAGTAGAGATCCCATTAGCACCAAGTTTTTATTCCAACTACAGATGGCCTTAGCGGGGGTACATAGGTGTAGCTTTCGGAGAAAGGTCTTGAAGCGAGTTGGCTTCCGGGTGTAGTGGGCTATAGCGGCTGATACAATGGGATTTGCAATCCCTTTAACTGTTCACCAAGTGGGGCGCTTGACGGGAAACACAGCAAGCAGCGCGTCCCGGTTTTCCTCCTGGGTTAATCCTATTCAAGGTCTTGGCATCGTGAAATTTCGTTTCTTGCCGAACTGATTGCAACAGAAGATATAGGCCTTTTCGGCGGCTTAGACGAAGTGTAAGAAAGAAACGTGAGGGCGCTAGCAGGCCTGAGAAGCCTACTTGGAAAGGCCTCACGGCATCATGTCTGCTCTACCAAGCCTTCCAGTGGCCTACAGACCCACCCCAAGGGTCAAGGAACAAGACTTTGGCGTTCCAAGGAGTATTCTCGTACACGCCGCGAAAAGAGTAGTAGTCCAAGACTGAGGAGTGCCAAGAGGCTAAGTTCTTGAGAATGGAGGCGCCTTTCCACTTGGTTGGTGAGTGGGGAACTTACATGGTTTCGCTGCTGCACTTTTGGAAGTGTTCCAACGCGCCAACAAGTGCTCAGCCGTATCTGACGGCAGTTAAATAGGCCTTTGCAGGGTAGCATCAAAGCATGTGACATTCTCCTTACATCAATGTAAACACTTGTACTGCAACGATAACGCATCGCTGACAGCCGGGCAGCAAGAACAACAAGAACAATAAAGACGACAACCGCAAGTGCCGCTGCCGCCACCACGCCTCATTTCTATTCTCCGCCTCATCTACGACTCCGGCATCAGTACTAATAATGACAATTACCAAGAGTCAGCCTCAGCCCAGGAGGCCTGCCTGTCCAGCAAAGAAGCCTTAGATGCCCTGGCGAAGCTCTCCGGGCGCCCCGTAGGCTCCGTACCTGAAGAGGACTCCCGGCTGTCAGGGTTCCCAGAACCTCCAAGATCCTGTCATCCTGCTAGGATTTCAAACATGACATGCAGCATATTTCTTAGTAAACGGATACAGAAGGATAGTGCAGTGTTGGGGGGTGTATGGATGGTGCAGGGAAGGGGGAAACTCTGTGTCGTTGGAGATGATGGGGTTTCTTCCGAATCTCTGCAGAATCCTGAGAAGAATGTTTTCAGGAAACATGAGACTGTGTGCGAGAACCTGTGCCAAGGACAAATTTGACAAATGAGGCTCACACCTTGAGCCTTTTGATCTTGGTGCTTAGTTTAAGGCATCTTATTGGTAGAGGGTGCCAGTGGTCCTATCCTAAGTGTTGCCTGGTCACTATTGGTAGGCTATTTCTAGGTACTATTGGCAGTTACTGTTTCTCCGTCACCAGACTCTAACAACAGTCCCAATCCTCACATACCCGCAAAATCTACCGCCCGCGGCCCTGATCCGAATGCCTCTTCAGCTCGCCCTGGACAATTAATGTAGAAACCCGGAGATTTGGATGTAGCTTCTCCTTTCGTGCCCTTGCAGGTATGTCTTAAAATGCATCAAAACCATCAGCCCTGGTCCATCTGAAATGCAGGCTTGGCTCCTCAAACCCAAGCCCTTGCCCCTAACTTGAAAAAGCTAGCCTTTTTTTGGTAGAGTTTGCATTGCTTCGGGTCCAAAGAGGAGCTGCGACGCCTATTCCGACGGGGATCTGCGGAGGAGGTTTCTGAGGAGCTGGGCGAGACTTCCTGCACCCATCTTAGTGGACTTTGTTTTTGGTATCCTGCTGCGCCATGTTGGAATTCTGGGCTTGGGAAGTTTACGGGAGTTCCTTGAAATTCTGCGGTTCGGACGTTGCGTTTTTGGGTTCTTGCCTACATGTCAATCCTACGGATTATGTCGGGAGTTGATACTTACGGCTTGGCATCTTGCCTTAAGTATGTAGCGTGAATTTCATCATCTTACCTGGTTCGCAGCCTTATCGAAGCCATGGCGTCTAGATCGAAAGGTTCTGCGGCATCCAAAGTGCAGCGCAATCAAGTACTGGGCGAGTGTACTTGCCAGTTGGGTTTGGGAGCAGTAGGTGCCAACTAAGTATTTGCACCCGCATGTCTGTCAGTGCTGGCTTGGCCATTGCTATTCGATTCGGGTTCAGTCTCATAGTCTTGCAATCCTTGTTGTCTGGCCATGTTGACTATTCAAGGGGTAGATGGAGACATCCCCCTCCAAACCTACACACTAAGTGGGGAACACGAGGATCCGCCAAGGAGAGTTTATCGAAATCCCTCATAGAGGGAACTTATGCCTCCCAAAATCAGATCCTTGTGTTTCTGTGTTTTTTTGGGTGCCTTTAAACCTTTGCTCGGACTGGGCGTTTCATCTGGCGGTGCCAGGAGCTGCGGCTCTGCATGGGGGGCGCAGATACTGACGCCAAGGCAATGCAGCTGAAGTTAGGGATTCCCAAATTCATGGGACTTTGTTAGGAGATTCTTTTTGCTTTGCAGGGGAGACAGGGACACATTATAGAACCATACCTTTGAGAAGCACACTTGCTCTAATGTGTACCCTTCTCCCCACAGAAACTGGTCTTGAGATGAAGCAGCGTGCATTTTGGGTCTCCAAGAGTTTTTTTGTGTTGGGAGGGTGGCTGGGCAGGCTTGTAGTCTGAGGCTAAAGGTGTCGCAGTTTCGGTTTTGGGATGGGCACCTGAGATATGTTTTCGTAGAGATGACCCCGAAGAGGGATCCGACAAATTCGTCTCATTCTTGTTTATCTTGGCGTCCCTAACAGTACCTCCATTCTGTCAGCCCCTCATATTTTGCCAGTCAGGAGAAGGAATGCTTCGCCTCCGATGACATTCGTGAAGCCATCGGCAACAGCATGGGCTTCTTGGCCATGGCAAAAGGGTTTTTGCACATGCTCAGGCAAAAGCCCATGGTCTGAGGCAAGGGCAAAGGAGACGTGAAGGACTCCGATGTGCGGGAGTTTATCGAGGAAGGCGCGAAGTCCTCGCGGTTCGCCTGCAAGGGGCAAAGACTGGTGATTTGGGTAGGGAAGTTCGGAGTTTGAAGTGTGCTTGACACTTGAGAACTTGAGACGCCAACTTCAGTCAAGCTCCTAGCACCAGTCGCGCTAGGTGTGAAGGAGGAGATGTGGACTTTGCTCGAGTCCTGCCCGGAAGCTGAAAAGGACTTGTCATATGTCACAGCTCACTGTGCGCCCGCGGCCCGCGTGCCTGCAAGCTGCCCGATCAGGAGCAATGCATGACAGCAGCCAAGGAGATGCTGGCCACAGTCTCCGGCAGCCCTCCTGCGTTCCTGCGTGTGGACTTCGTTCTCGTGTCGTGCCTTCTTCGCACTGAGGCCGGGAGGCCTCTGGCATTACGGACGACGTGGTGCGCAAGGCCGACTTTGTGCTTGGAGAGAATTTCTGCCGACAGCAAAGTATGGGGGAATGCATGACTGCATGTCTGACAGTTCCTGGAAGATGAGATGGCCTCGGAGCTCGGTGAGAGGAGCTTTGCTGCTGCACTTGCGTCTCTGGCCACGCAATGCTTCTGCCGTTTGAAGGATGAGGGCTTGCATGGACCAGGCCACGGACGATGCAGCCAAGGACATAGCCGCACCAGCGCTCGCCAGCACCTGAGCCTGACCCCTTCCTGCCATCGCCAGGAGAGCTGCAGGACCACGCTCTCCACAGGTGTCCTCGGTGTAGCCCGCGGAGGTGCGCTAAGGCTAAGGTAGGCGAGGAGGAAGACCGTTTTTGGAGTTGGAGATCTAAGGCCAGGCACCCTCGCGCACCGACATGGAGGAAGCCTTGAAGGAGGCTGGACGCGAGAAGGTGCGGCTGGGAGGGCATAAGCTTTGCAGACAAACGGAAAGAAGCAAGAGGCTAGCGAGGTAGTCATCCTCTGTGTGTGCCTGATGTCCTGATGCTCCCGCTGACAGGCCAAGGAGGTAAGCAAGGACTGCCAGGGTAGCCGTGAGGAGTGCTTTTCGGCTGTACTTGAATTTGCCAGCAACTCCGAGCACTCCTTGATGGGGTGAAGGGGGAGAGTGTTGAGGTATGGAGAAGTTGCGAGACGAGGCCGCGAAGTCCATGGGCCGCAGCAAGGAGGACCTTTCGGACATGGAGGCGGGCTGCCTCGCACTCCAAGCAATGAAATGTGTTGGGATGAGCCAGGTGGAGAGGCTGAACATGGACGGGGCCCGTGACGCTGCAAAGGAGGCTGCCCGTGAGCAGCCTCAGTTCGCGGGTTGTGCAGCATCACCCTTGTGCTGCGCACCTTTGTGGGCTCAGGTGGCTGCGCAGCAGCACGCAAGGAGGAGGCCTCCGCCACCTGCGCCGACCCCACTGAGGCGTGCAAGGGGACGCCTCGTGTCTTGCCCTCTGCCAGTCCCTTGAGAGGTGTACGCGAATGCCCGCAAAGTCCCCATCGAAGATGACGTAGAAGCTCGGCTTCATGAAGCAAGGTAACCAAGGAAGAGAAACGTTGCTTGCTGGTTTAGGTTGAGACTTGGAAGGGCCCTCGTGTGGCTTCAGGACCGAAAGCGCGTGCAGCAGGAATTGGTGAAGGAGTCGGAGAAGGATGCCATGAGGACATGCTTCTCAGAGGAGGACAAGGACGGCTTCGACAGCTGCATGGGCCAGATGAAGGATGCGGAGGAGGTTGCTGGGGAACTTTTCCGCGGAGTTTCTGACGAGCGAAAGCAGAACAAGGAGAAGCGGGCCAAGGAGGAAGCCGCTGTGGAGGTCGTCGGGGAGCGCTTTCAGCTTTGCATGGAGGCCTCGACTACTGAGGAGGAGAAGAAGGGTTGCCGCGACGAGATGGGAAAGGGCGCCGGCATGGCCGGCCTAAAGGAGGACGTGGAGGACGTCGTCAAGAAGTACCATCGCATCTCGCCTCAGATTTTGGAAGCCAAGGCCTGGCCCTCAGATCCACACATTTCTGCCCAGGCAACGTGGTGGCCACCGCAGCCCGAGCCTGCAACTCCACGCAGAGGACGCTTTTTCGTTGCTTTTCCCTAGCAGGTTTCACGAAATTCTTGCTGTTTCTCGACATTGGTATTGAGGCATTCTGAGACGGAGGTTCAAGGCCTTATCATAAGAGCCAATGTAGGGTTCGCCTACAAGCTTGCAGTAGGAAGACTGTTGTAAAGAAGCTCTGACAGGAAAACCTGCATCGACCAGGCCAAGGAGGAGCTCAAGAAGAGCGGCCTCAAGGATTTGGGCGATGAAGGTTGTGGGGTCAATCAGTTGTGGAGTTGCGGTTCCATTGGTGTGCTTGCTATCCACTTTTTTGAGGGCATGGGATTCGCAAAGAGCAGCGTGGCATATACTTCGCATCCTTAACTTCACTACTAGGGATTATCTTTTAGCCTTTGTGGTTGTTTTTTTTCCTCCTCCCTGTGCTCCCACTCTGATTCCTGTCATTTCGGAGTACTTGCCTTTGATACTTTGAGCCATGTTCGCAGTGGCCTATGGCCTCCAGGAGAGGGCTTTTGGCGTCGTCCGCAGACTGGCAGAGATGAAGCTCGACTTGAGATTACTTGGGGATGAGGTAGGACTTTAATAATTGGGAGTCTACCGCGGGGCTTCTAGGTGTTATGTGGGGTTTACCGTGGCTATCTGAGTAACTGCTTTTGAGATGATGGTTTTGATGTGATGATGTAGGATTCCCTGAGATGACTGGTGAGCGTACATGCGTACATAAGTCTTGGTTGAAGTACTGTTGAATATGCAGTGCAATGTGCGTGAGCGGCATTTTTCAAGAAACGAACCCTGGGCCGCCGCTCATCCTAGACCCTGAAACCGGAAAATGCTTGAGTCATCGCAGCCACCCCTAATCCTACCTACAAACCCCACATCGCATCCTGAGCCCTAAAATCTAGAGCAGAAGACTTCGAATCCTTCAACCCTGACCGTAGATCTTAAATCTGAAGTCCTAAATATTTGGCCCTGGTCCTCAGGAAGTCTGCCGCTGAGACTTGGGCTGCTTGCCAGGCGCGGTGCTTGTAGAGTTAAGCTTTGCAGTGGGGGGATGCTAGAGGGATGTGGGGTGGCATGGGGGTATATAGGTACATAGGCATGCACCGGGATATCTGATCCAGGGCTGAAATCCCACCCTCCCAACGGTATGGTGCTGGCAAAAGGTCCCACAGTCGCGAGATTTGCCAGCATTGTGGCAATTGATTGTCACCATGGAGCATCAAGATCTGCTGTTGCTGAGGTCATTCAGATCCTCCTTCCTTGCCTGTGGTGTGGTGGGTTTTCTTTCTCCCAGAGCTGTCTGCATTTCTCTTGAAAGCATTCAGACCTTCCTCCTCCGCCTGTGGTGTGGGTGGTCAATAACTCCTTCCCCACCCTTTGTATGATGCTAGCATAGAGTCTCAGATTTGCCACCATGCTGGTAATTGACTGTCACCATGGAGCATCAAGACCTGATGTTGCTGAGGTTATTCAGATTTTCCTGCATCCATCCTCTGTGGTGTGGTGGGTTTTCTTGTCTCGTGTATGGCAGTTCCTTCAGATCTTTGCCCTTCCCCCCGCATGAAGGCATCTGTGCGAGAACAAAACAGGATCATGCAAGAAGCCATGTTCGTTCTTCCTGTGCACTGTCAGATGTTTCTATCCATTTAAATACCGGATAGCTGCAACACCTTTCGTAAAGCTGATGCAAGATTCCATGCATTACTTGGAGCGCAGTAACGAATCAAGTACTCCAAGATAAGATGTACCCACAAAATGCTCAACATTTCCCCTTTGTCCCAAGGTTTTGGCAACCGAAGGAATTTCCCATTGCCAGGGCCCTTTAAGCCTTCCCCCGCCGGGGTTATGACTTTGCATCAACTCTACGTATATCTTCATACTGTCGCGCAGCAGCTACAGCGTACCCAATTCCGGACATTGCCTGATGAACAAAGGGTACCTAGACCTCGCAAATTCCCATAACAACAGCCTTTTTCACCCTTCATTTCTGGGTTGAAAGGCCGTTATAAAGAGCATTTGGGAGGTCTAGGCAGTGAGTTTTGAGGCAGTCCAAGACTTTGCAAGGTCCGCATTTGCGCGTGGACAGCGTTATTCTCATGTTTTGCTTTTGTCATTCATCTTACGCCTCAGCTTCGTTCTCATAGCATGATCATGCTGATTCTAGAACTACCTTTAGCTGGCTAATCTGTTGATCAGCTGTTGCTACTATATCTTTGAATGGTGGCATGCGTCATGGTCCCTCAGGAGGGCAGCACAGGAGAGAATGCCACCTGCGACGCCAAAGCTCAGGCGTTTGAGCGGGAAGCTTGGGTTTCTGCTCAATTTCATCTGGTATTAGATTGTGCTGAAAATTGAGACGGGATTCTGCCACAGCTGTTACAAAGGTCGTACCGGCTTCTTAGCACAATGATCTATGGACATACGGTTTCAAGCTGTTCTAGTAGTTTGCCAGGGGATCAGTGGGTTTTCTTTGATTTGTGTACGCATGCAGTTGACATGCGCAACTTCAACGGAGCGCTGATTGGATTATCATGGTTGGAAATTCATAACAAACTAGGCAATCATGCGGAGAAATCAGCACTGAAATCTCATACTGTGGCATACTGAATACTCGAAGGGCTTCCCCACAATTGGGCATTACACAGCTGTTGCTGGCGGATCGGCTGCAATGGTTTTGCTGTTGTCAGATTGTCTGCCATGTCGTTGTTGTTCTTCTTGCGACAGCCGCTTCCAGCACCGTAGCTACCATTGCCTGCAGCCTGCTTCCAGATCGGTGAGCGGGTCGAACTGGACTAGTGCTACGCTAGTACTCATCAAACCAATGATTGCACTAGCAGTGCCTCCCTCAGACGATGACCATCTCTTTTCCTGTCATTGCTATTGCCGCTGCCACCACCGCCACCACCTGTCGCTCCTCTTACCATGACAACTTTAACGATGACGATACATACAACAAATGCTTCGAACGCTTGGTCTGCTTCTCCTTCTACATGCTGCTACCTTCTACTACCAGCATCCCATTCTTTGAAGATGACCATCTTTTGGGTGGTTACTTGTAGCCGTAATAGAGGCCTGATCCACCTTCGGTGGTGAGGGTGAAATGCCGGGGTAAAGATGTGACTTCTCGCTCTACCTGCCCAAGTTTATTCATTCGTTCATTTGTTCATTCGTTCATTCGTTCATTCGTTCATTCGTTCATTCATTCATTCATTCATGGCCTGATACAGGCAGATGTTCGATGATGACTTGGGGCATCCCATCCGAGATCCTTCATTATCACGTAGGTTGGGCATTGAAATTTAAGCGCCGGACTCTTATTGTGAAGTAGGCATTTGATAGACTTCCTAACGCCCCCACCTCATCTGCGAATCGATGGAAGGGTCATCTCTGGAACCCCACCCGCAAGGCGGAACTGGAGGAGATCAGCGGCTCCACGGAAGTATGGACAGCGGATGTGGCCCTGAAGGCACGGCGGAATTGCCCGCGCGCAGTTTGGACTGGAAGAGGGTGCCTGGTCTCATCTAAGGTGAAGGAGCTTGGCCAAGCCATGCTCGAGGGCAAAGAGATCGTGCTCCGCACCTTGACTTCTCCCTGTGTCCTGCGAACACGGTGTTTGCTGGGTTTCGGTTGACGGCAGAGTTTAGGGTTTCAAAGGCAAGCTGCACGCTATCCTTCTGGAGATCTTGACGGATGCTCTAAATTGCTCTGACGACGTTTTGGACAAGATAGCCGAGAGGGCGCAGCAGACGTCCGATGGCTACATGCCGTGCCTCTGAGGCAGCCTTTGGCAGAAAGAGTTAAACGATGTTAAAATGTAGTCTTAGGCCGGAAACCTTCAGCCTTCAGTCAGGGTTAGTCGAGGTTTTGCAAGCATCCGGGGGGGATAAATTCACGATTCCAGGCCTTGAAGAACACGCGTGTTTCAGGCAAGAAGCCCAAGCAGAGCACAATCAGATCAATGGAGCCTCCACCAGGACATTGCATATTCTATACGACTATGCCAGGAGCCAGCAGACTTGCGTTTACAATGTCATGCCTGCTGGATTCAACTTATGATGTAATCGCCAGGGGTCCAAGTCTATTGTTCAAGGCTTCGGGATCTAGACTTCATTCACCCGGAAGTAGAATATGTTAGTTGAAAATATACGAACCCCGGGC